TTGGTTCTGCTTAGCATTTTTTCCAAGTCTTGGAGGAATAATAGCAGAACTACTTAATCAAATTTAATATAGCATAGAAGAAGAGCTGATATTTTGGAGGAAAGAATATGAATTCAGATGTCTCTGAGTCCGTTAGAACTGAAACCAGGAAGATAAAATTAATAAAGGCAGTGGAGTTTTCCATTCAAAGTAAAATATGTATTGTGTAAAAGAGTAAACTAGAGGAGACCATGAACCTCGAGACTTTTTTCCTGTGGACTGACTGCACTGATGGCGAATTTTGTTTGGTTAGGTTGTTCGTTTGTTTTCACTCATCATTTCAATGAGCCTCTAAACCACAGACACAGACACATGTACATGCATGTGATGCAGATATAAGCTGCAGTGATTTTTTAAAAGAACAAGGTCTATATCAAAGAAATAATCATTTCATTCTTATGTGAACCGCACTTTAAGTGTGTTCAGTTCTGAGTGTCATTTTCTGAGGATGAAGACAAACTAGAAACCCCAGACAGCCCCTGCCACAGCATTTGGTGCTCAGTTAAGAAATACTTGGCTGGATGGGAACTTGAGTGGTTAGGGATGGTGTCCCAGGTCCCGTGAAGGACAGTTGAAGGAACTAGGAAAGAGGAACACAGAGATAGCTCTCATCAAATAGTTCCAAAGCTCTCAAGTGGAAGAGACTAGATTTATTCCATGTTTTTCCAGGAAACAGACCAAAGGCTCCTGTGGGTGGCTGTTTGAGTCAGTTTACAACTGACCAGGCCTGTTGTTCGGTGGAGCGGGCTGATGGAGGTACTGTCACAGTCCTAGGACACTGACTCTCTGTAACAGTCCATTTGATGACAGAGGCCACGGGCCAGCCGGAGTTGGATTCTAGGAAGGCTTCCTGCGTTTAGGGCACGGCCAACTTAGTGGTCTGTCAGTTTGTCCCAGTGATTTTCCTTCTGGTGGGTCCAAGACAGCTGGTGCCTTGTTTTCACAGCTTTGCAGAATCAACATTGCAAGGGCAACTATTGCTTTAAAAACAATGTTTAATGGAATCTTCTGAGGATACTGCCTTGAATTAGAGAAAGCCCTTTAATGTGGCCTTTTTTAAGCCTTGCATTTTTTTCTCATCTCATCTTTTTGTCAGTTGGCCTCATAAATATTCATAGAGGAATTGACCCAAAATAAAGAGTTATTCTAAAAATCTTTCCTAAGCCTTTCAGCTGTGCTTCAAGTAATTACTTGAATATGATCTCTGGCCAGTTACATTATTGTAAAGCTAGTGAGTAATCTATTTTGGAATTATTTTTAAAAATTTAATCAGGATTTCAGAAATCGTAGGATTTGATGTGAAAAAAAAAACATTTTCTATCAATCTCTGGCCGCGAGTGCCGCACATGACTTGAGCCCTCGAGCTTCCAGCCACTGTCCTCACCCTCTCGCCTCCCCAGCTGAGAAGGATGGGAGCCAAGCCGAGCTGGAAGCATAGATTCAAGCCCACAGCCCAGACGTGGACTGGGATGAAGTATGAACAGCGGGCAGGCCTTTCAGGTGGGCAGAGCCTGGGGTGGCCCCTTAAACTGCTAGAACAGGCCCGAGGAGCCCTGCTGTCAGCGGGAGAGAGCTCCGTCAGACTCGACGGCTGCAGATGCAAGGGCCTGGAAGCGGTGGCAGGCCAAGAACACGGGCAGCGGCATCCCCGGCTTTTCTCTGTTTTGCTTGTAGACTGTGTACTTCAACAGCTGCTAGTTTTGTCCACACATGGTCACCTTTTGTTGTTTTGCCTCATAGAGAAAATCCTCCTTCCTCCTTTGCCAAAAGTTCTCCTTCCCCAAACGCCTGCTTTTCACTCACTGAGAGGTGGACAACGATGGTCCTTGAGACTCTTAAAGTAGAATGAGAAATCCCCAGAGCTGAGTCCTGATGTCACACTGGTGTGTTTTCTGGGAAAGCCTGAGTTTAGTCTTCGGGCCACTAATGTGGTGTGTGATCTTGGGAGAGTAACTTAGCCTCTCTGAGCCTCAGTCCCCTGATCTGTAAGATAGAACCTTGCAGGGCTTTTGAGCGATTTTAGACATGTAAGCAAGCACTGAGCCCAGCGTTTGGCACATAGGAGGTTTTCAGTGAATCTTAGCCACTGTCATTATTGTTAGCTGGCATTGATTGAGACAGATTTTCATCAAGGTACCAGTTTTAACTCTTGAGTATTTTATTCTTTACTATTCAAGACTTTAACTGTGGAGAGAAGTCCAGCTACCTTCATGATGAAGTGTGCTCAGGACCCCGAAAGATTAAGGGGGAGAGGGGTTGTATTTGCTCTCTTTATCTATAGTTGTCCACCCTTGTCACTTGGGGGGAAAGGACGGGGAGGACTCACATTTGATTGAAAACCAACAGTGGCAGAAACAGAATAACCTTTCCTTATCCAGAGTTGTCTTTTCTATTTTTAGGGTGGTCGTGGTGGTGGTTCTTGAAGAAACAGAAGCTAAAAAATGAGAATTTACAATTTTCTTGATTCTGTGGGTGACAATTCCAAGATGAATGTCTGTCTTTCAGAGCTTTGGTAACACAGACTTCATGCTCCTGAAACTCTGCCCTGGGAGAAATCGATTACCTGGGCTTGTGGTGGAGTCAAAGAACTGTTTTCTCACTGCCTTTTTCAAGCCAGTTAAGAGCGCTCTTAGCCTCTCTGCTGAGCTCTAAGTAATTTCCAGTCATTGACTCTCAAACTGCTGCCTCGTGCCTCCCATTGGAGTCTGACTCCTGTGCCTGGGTCCCCAGCCCCTCTCTCGGCACTGTCCCCACTGTGTCCTCCTCTCTGTGAGAGCCTGTCTTCTCACTCCCCGCACTTCCTCTCCACGGTCACCGAGTCCTGCTTCTGCTCATTTCAGAGCCTTTCTCAGACCGTTTCCCTCCTCTCCCCTGACTCGTATAGTCTGTCACCTTTAGGGTCCAGTTGACAGGGATCTGTTGCTCAACTGAATTTGAATGTTAGCTAATGCCCCTGGGTCTGCAGGAGTAATTCTCAACCTTGGCTGCACATTGGAATCACCTGGGAAGCCTAAAAAAATCCGCAGGGCTTGGGTCCCATCCCCAAAGGTTCAGATTTCATGGCAGTGCAGTGTGACCTGTACATCAGGATATTTTAAAGCCCTCCCAGGTGATTGACTGTGCAGCCAAGGTTGAGAAGCCCTGGTCTACGAACTCATTCAACCCCCAAGCTGCGTCTGTGTTCTAATAATAACTCTATTTGTTCCCCCGGTGACTTGTATACTACAGTGTTTTAAATAGTTCGTGTGAATATAAAAAGATTTAAGTAGCTATTTCCACTTGTGTAAACTGGGTAGATTTAGGGGCGAGAGGCTCTATTTTTGACAATCTGATTCTAGAGCACCTCTGGGTCGCTTGCTGGTGGCAGCAGCGTGTGGCGGGCGCTGTGCTCCTTACCCCCCAAGCTGGCCACGTTCATTAGGCTCCTGTTTCTGATTCACAGCAGGCCCCCAAGTGTGCCCCGGTTTCTGCCCTCTCCGATTAATGAGGATCCTGAGGTCCAGAGAGGCTCGTCCACCTGCCCAGAAAGCAGTGCTAAACTTGAGTCTCCTCTGCCCCCTGGGCAGGGGCAACTTAATTATTAACAGCTTCCTGGAAAATAAGGATGTACCTGCTTCAGGTGTGGGGTTGAACTTTTGACATTGAGTTGCATTCTTTTGTACATCAAGAGCGTCCAAAAATTTTATTTCAGCTTCATTCCCAAGTTGCCGAGTTTTTCATGCACTCAAGAGACATCCTTTTAGAAAACTATCTTGCTTCTAGAACCTAATCTAGTAGAATCTACCCCAGCTTTTACTTCATCTTCTTAATACTTCTCTGAGGTGGTGAATACGCAAGACCATCCTCATTTTGAAGAAAAGGGAACTCGTGGGCCAAGTATTAGTTCTCTACTAAATATTAGTAATAGCTCCCACAAATTGAGTGCTTATTAAGTGCTAGGCCCTGTACTAAGCTGTTGACATCCTATATGACTATCCTCACTCTCTAGATGAGGAAACCAAGACCAAAAAGGGCGGAGCTACTTCCCCAGGGTGTAGCTAGTAGTAGGACTACTACTACTGCCGTGTTTGTTTGCTTGCTTTAAAAAAAAAATGTTTTTAATCCTCACCCGAGAATATGTTTATTAATTTTTTAGAGAGAGAAAGAAACATCAATTTGAGAGACAAACATTGATGGATCGTCTCCTGTACATGCCAATTGGGCACCGAACCCACAGCCTTTTTGTGTACGGGACAATGCTCCAACCAGCTGAGCCACCCAGCCAGGGCTGCTTGCTTGTTTTTTAAATGCCTTATGCGCAAAATTGAAAGACACAGCTTTGTCTGCTGCCTTGCATTGACGGGGCCAGCCACTGGTGTGTATGCAGTGGCATCTGGACAACCATGGCAGGAATAAACCACCGAAGCATGAACTGAATTTTCTTTCTGTGTGTCAAATGGCCATTTAATAGCTATTGTGAAACAGAATTTTCTGCCAACCTTGAATATCATACTGAGGTCAAACGGGCTCTAAATATTCCTTTTCCTGCCATGCCAATACAAGGCTGCTTTGGGGTAAACAACCCCTGAAGGTGAGAACTGGCTCTTGGAGCATTTTCACACTCCACCCATCTGAGCACTGCTGCTTCTCACAGTTTCAGATTAATGACAAGGACCCTATCCCTTCTGCTGGGCCATTTCATTACTGCACAGGCACTAAATGCCCAAGACAGAAACCCATCTCCCCATCTCGCTCATTATGATTATACCAACTTATTTTTTCCCTCTTCAAACATATAAAGCCTTGTTGTTTCCTGGTTTGTTAAAATATGTACACACAGACCTGCAATTCTGAAGGGAGAATAACTCTGTAAAGGTGGAGACAGGCGGTGTGATGAGTGGATGGAGTCTTGGAGAAGAGATCAGGGCAGGGCCACTGATTGAGTGCAAACCTTTTTTACAATGTTGTTTATCCCCCTACAGGGCATACAAAACCATTGAGGACGATGACTTGAAGTTTCCCCTTATATACGGAGAAGGCAAGAAGGTAGGCATGGTCACCTCCCCCAGAGAGACAACAGGGCCAGCTCGTGGGGCCCATGGCAATCCCTGCATTCCACTCAACAGCTCCTGACTGTATAGGCTTGACAGCTTGAAGGCAGATCCTCTCCATCATCCCTCAGGCCTCCTGTCTTGAGGGTCCAAGGAGTGGCAGGGTTGGGGAGGGGTGTGGCAAGCTCAAGGGACGAATGTCAGTTTTATGAAAATTAACATTGCCCATCTCAACCCATTTGGATAACTTTTTACAGTGTGTAAGCATGACCACATTCACATTCATCATCTTGCAGTATACCTGTGATAACAAGCCACACGGCAGGCAGAGCCGGCTTTATGCTGTCCATTTGGTAGACGAGGCACCTGGGACTCAGGGTAAAACCGCTCAGGCAGAGTCCCCCAGTCAGCAAGGGGTGGTCCCAGATGTGGAGCCATGGCCCTCTGCCTCCTCCCCAGGCCCTCACACTCCTCCGTGGAAGTTCAGACCCTGCAAGTCTGCTTCTCCACTTGTCCCACGAAGGGGATCCAGAGCTTCACTGTGACTAAGCCATAGGATCACATGGACCTGAGCCCAGGCAGACGGCACCGGACCGTTCATCACCAGCGCCCGGGGCCCCGGTCGGCATCACACACGGAGCAGCAGGCACATTGCTGAAGCGAAGGAAGGCTGTCAGTCTTGAAGGGGGCTGTGAGCAGAGGCTGGGGGAGGTTGCGGTCCTGGAGCGGAGATGAGGAAGCTTTGAAGCTATGTCCCGATCAGAACAAACACCTTCTGAATCATTGCATTCTTCCTGCAGACACAGATACATTTCAACTAGGTGCTGAGAGTTCCAATTAGAAGTGAAAAATGTGGTCACATTAAGATGAATGTTCAACTGAAAGTTTTTTTAGCATTTGATAGTTTTTAGCGGGAGGAAGTGACTCATAAGAAAACTGAAGGATGTCTCCTTGAGCAGAACTTGGGGTGGCGGGGGGGTGCATGTGAGCTCATCTGAGAGAGAGAAGAGGGGGTAGGTAGATTTGGGGCCTCAGTGTAGCCCCACAGTGATTTCACTGGAAGGAGGCATTTGTGGAGGGAAATGAAGCATGAATATCTGATCCATGTAGGGATCACTTTTCAAACTAGTTTGCCCCTTCCCTGGAGATTGGACAGCCTCTTCCTCACTGTTTATGGCTGAGAATCATGACAAGGAAGGGCTCTGTTTCTGGTAGAATTATTCGAGCCTTCAGTACAGTGGGTACCATTCATGCGAATCACTCAGCCCAGGGGCCTGCACCTGCACCTAGAGTTCTCTGTGGCCGAGGTTCTCAGTGTTACCCTGCCGTGCCCAGTGAGTTCCAGGGAGCTCAGGACCACATCCTGTTATATGTATCCCTAGTACCTGTCTAGCCTGGTACCTGACAGTCCTTCAATAAATGCATGAGTATTAAATAAGCTCTTCAGTTATGCTCAGTATACTCTCCTTCATACAGCAGGAAAATGGACAAATGTGTTCTTTGAAGATTATCAACAATAAGATTTAAAGAAGCAAGGTTTTCCCAGATAGGCAAAAAGTTTAGCGTGCCAGGACGCCGTGCTCCTCAGGCATTTCAGTCAGTTAGGGTTGGGCGGCCCTGGGACTGCAGCCGGCAGGTTCTGTCATTGGAGCTGCTGGTCTGTCTCTGGGCCTCCGTGGCTGTCTCTGGTCGGCTCCAGGCACGCCCAGCACCAAAGTAGCACCCCACCCTGTTTGAGGGCTCCACAGTGTCTCCAGACACCTTTACAACTGCAATATATCAGTTCTGTCTAGATTCTTTATAGGGGTTTTCTCTTTTTTCTCTGTGTACACCTACCCAGAGGTTTTAGAATACTCCTACCTGGGCAGCCATTATTTTTCATTTATTTCTGCCAGTGCTTCAAAAGACTTGGGTGGCACCTACATACTTTGTAAACAAATTTAGTAACCAGCAGAAACATCAGATTCCTTTGAACCAATACGCCCACCTATGCTCTTTACAGCCAGAGAAGGTGGCACTGCAGGTTGGAGGGCGGGGACTCCGAGCTCCCGCACTCAGTTGAACACTTCCCGGCGAGAAGGGAGCCGGTCCAGCCTCCCGGCAGAGCAGAGGGGCTGCGGCCCTGCAGACCAGAGGGCTCCAGGCTTCCCATCGGTGTCTGCATTTTGCCCCCTTGAGTCTGGCCTTTAAAAAACATGTCATGGTTTCATTTCCACTTTTAATGTGAACTTACCCACCTTCAAAACCAACTCCAAACTCCACAGCTTTTGGGGGAAACTGAGAGGAATATGATGGTGATGTGTTAGATTGTAATGTTTCTCAGGATCTATGTTATTCTTTTTTAAAGATTTTATTTATTTATTTTGGAGAAAAGGGAAAGTGAAAGAGAGAGTGAGAAAGAGAGAGAGAGAGAGACACACACACAGACACATCAGTGCGAGAGAGAAACATCGATCAGTTGCCTTTTGTCTGCGCCCTGACCAGGGCCCAAACCCACAACCCAGGCGTGTGCCCTGACTGGGAATCGAACCAATGGCCTTTCCCTTTGCAGGATGACGGCCAAAAACTGAGCCACACTGATTAGGGCTTCATAAGTTATTTTCATTACCCAAGTAATAGAGTGGGGCTTCAAGCCTGGGCTTTTGAACCATGACACTACACCAGATATATTATTGGTGATCCAGGTGTTAGGCCATTGGGCTTCATTCCACCCAAAATTACCTTCAGTCCATCCTTCTGTGTTTACCTGTCCTGATGCTGCATGTCCTTCTGCGCAAAAGTTTGGTGCCACTTCCAGGGAGCCTCAGCCGAATTTTTGCCTCCTCTGAACTCACCTAGCCCATTGTTTATATGTCTTTCTTCAATGGGCCATGTGCTTCTTCACGCCCTTACCAAATTCCTTTATAGTAGGGACAAATCCATAGACATTTGTCCCCTACAGCAGGGTGCCTGCTCTTAGTAGGTGCTCACTAAATGTTTGGGTAAATCAAATCTGTGGCATCCTAGGAGGTATTAAGGCATTAGTATAATAGTCTTGCTTCCTTAAAGCAAGACTGAGTGGTTACAGCAAAGTGATATGTTGTTCCTCTCCACCCAGAGAGAATCTGTGGAGACAGGGTTGGTTTCAGAATCGCTAATGATTTGTTTTCTCCATCCATTAGATATAATGTATGAGCTTTGGGAGGTTAGGAGCTGCTACTGATTTCTTTATATGTTTTACTATTGCCTATTACAGACCCAGAGACATAGCTGGTGTTCAGAAAATACTTGTAGAGTGGGTGTGTGACGGACGGATGGATGGATGCTGTTAGATTTAGTTTGAACTAATTTTAGTAGCTGTAAATATCACACATGTAATGGATATAGTTTATTGGACACCCTTCCCTCGAATCTCTACAAAAGAAATCCGAAAAAAGACAACAGCAACCCATCAAACTTAATTGGTGGAAAAGCCACTCATTAAGGGCATAAGTGATCATTGTGAGCCCTTCCTAGGCCACAGCTACCTACATGCACTAGTAGCAAGGGACACAGAGAGAGGCGAGAGGAACTGGAAACGTATTGCTTCTCCCTTAGCCCATGCGGCTGTATTGTAATGGGAATCCTTTCTCGGTGTGTGAGTGTTTCTCCTGACCCTCTGCTTTCACTCCTAGGCCCGAGTAATGGCAACTATTGGAGTGACCAGGGGACTGGGGGACCATGACCTGAAGGTGCATGACTCCAACATCTACATAAAACCATTCCTGTCTTCAGCTCCAGAGGTACCACATGAGGTTTTTGTTTCTATTTCGTACAATAAGATGTTTTCTTGCTTTATTCCTCCCATGACGCACACTCCGTACCCAGACAGGAGCTGACTTGTGTTACATGTACTTTTGTAGTGTCTCCCATGTTTGTTTATTCTTCCCACTCTGTTCTCACTCTGACTGTCCTGTTTCACACCTCTTTGCCTCTGCCCTGATAGCTGCCCAGTCCCTAGTGGCATCCCCCTGCCTCCTCAGTCCATCTCACCTGTTGCTCTCAAGTACATTCTCCTAAATAACCACCCTGATCCTGTTTGCCTAGAAGCTTTAAACGCCACCTCATGACTTGGAGAATAAAGCCCAGACTCCTTCTCTTGGCATTCAAGGCTTGTTATAAACTGGTCTAACTTCTTTATTTTTTTTTTTTTAAGATTTTCTTTCTTTATTTAGAGAGGGGGGAGGGAGGGAGAAAGAGAAAGAAACATCAATGTGTGGTAAAAATATCAACAGGTTGCCCCTCACATGCCCCCAACCAGGTTCCTGGTCCACAACCCAGGCATGTGCCCTTGCCAGGAATTGAACCTGCGACCTTTTGGTTCAAAGGCTGGAATTCAGTCCACTGAGTCACACCAGTGAAGGCTAAACTGGTCTAAGTTTTTAATCTGATCTTTGTTCCCCTACTACAGTCAGAAGGAATTTACTGTTTCCTATACATGACCTTCAGTTTCCCACATTAAACTATTCCTTCTACCTAGAATGTCCTTCCTGCCCATCGCACACATCCAAAGTCTTTCTTTCTCTAGGGTTTAACTTAAATGCTTCTCCTGTGGAGGCTTCCCTCATTTCCCCCTCACCCAACCAGAAGTAAAGTTTTCACCCTACTCCCAATGTATAGAGATCAGTGGCCTCTTACAGCATTTTTATAGGATATTCTTAGCATGGTTGTTGATGTATATACTTTGTTCCCTCTTAGATTTTTAGTTACCTGGAGAGCTGGTATTATTCAGTTGATGTTTGGAGAAGCTAATTGAAGAACAAGTCATTAATTTGGTTAAAAAATCATTTTTCTTACAATACGGGAAACAATATTGAGTTCTATATCAGAGTATATAATTTAGAAAAGATTTTGTTTCTAAGTTATAGTAAAAGCTAATGGCAGCGTAGGGGTATATTTTCCTCACATACGTGGAGGCTGCACTTTGGTGGCTGCTAGTGTTGCACAGCATCTCCGATGTGCCAGGGCTGGAACACCTTCGTCTGACTTGCACTTCACAGTCGCAAGATGGTGGCAGCAGCTCTAAGCGTAGCATGTTCCTGCTGGGCAGGAAGGAGGAGGTAGCCTGTCTGTCCTAGCAGATACTCACTTGCATCTCTTTGGCCAGAACTGTGTCACATGACCTCCTCTGTCTGCAGGGAAGGCCAGGAGGGGGAGAGCTTTTAACTTTTCCAATTTCTACAGTAGAAGGGAACCAGGGAGGAGTGAGGCAGGAAGCAGCGGTGCTTGCCTCCTGTCAAATTAATTGTTACAGCGATGCCTTGCACTGGGAGTGTCCAGAGTGTTTAGCCATGGCTCCTCATCCGCATATTCTTCCCAAGGGTTAGTGAAGGCTCTTTCGGTTGGAGGAAACAAAAACCCAGTCAAGCTAACTCAGAAAAAGGAAAATGTTATGTTAAGATATGGGAAGCGATATTTACAGTGTCTACAAGAAGAACCCTTGAACAGCCAGGCTTTATGGGAGGGGGGTTCTGTGCCCGAGTTGGTCCTAGACAGCTTCAGCAGTGGGAGTCTGTCACCTGCACGAGCGTGTTCTGCCATTAATATGACCAGCCGTGTCCTATATGTCTCTGCTACTGGTCAGCCCAATTTCTCACTCTCCCGGTCCCAGTTGAACAGAGAGGAACCTCACAGGCCCAATTCACCTTTGATGCTAGGCCACAAGTGACTTTCCCATCTGTAGGTTGCCCCCTCGGATTGCATGTTCAGTTCAGAGCCACTGATGGGCACATCAGCAAGGCCCACCCCTTTGGCAGGGCTGTGAAGAGAGGTAGTTTCTTTTATTGCTGGGGCTGGCACCCAGAATACACCTAGCCACGGGAGGTTAGGGGGCCACTGAGTGGGAGATCTCTACTAAATATCAGGCATGGAAGATGCACAGATTTCCTGAAATCACCTAGGATTTCTGGTGAAGTTAGGTTGGTAGAAATAATAATTGTCACTTGTCAAGATCTTGCAAATGTCTTTCCTTTAGCCCTAGGAGTAATTCTGCATGATGAGGACCATTACTACATAAGTGTGCAAGGTCCCCCAGAAGCGGGGGATTCCTGGTCCCTCAATTCTGGCCCACATCAGGGTCCCTGTATTACTGCTGAAACTATTCCTGGCCAGAGAAAAACAATAAATACTAGACCCATGGTCTTCTATGTTTGCCCCCTTGGGAAAGAGGCATTTATCAGACATACTAAATGGTGCCGTAGGCCCTGACCAGGTAGCTCAGTTGGTTAGAGCATTGTTCTGAGATGTTAAAGGTTGTGGGTTCGATTCCTGGTCAGGGCACATACAAGAAGCAACCAACGAATGCATAAATGCTGCCATCATTTTTCTTCTTTCCAGAAGGGACATAAAAAGGGTGACTCATGTTCCTGTGGTAGAGAACATCTCAAGAAACTCAAATTAATCATTTTGCTTCCTACAGTGAAGTGAAAATTTCCTTCTCACCTCCCCACTCCTATACATATACATATGCTTTCTGTATAGAGTGAGAAGAGGATTGGTTTGATTTGAAGGAGAATTATCTTTATGCAGTTAAATTATAGATCTTCCAATCATTCTGCTACTGTGAGTCCCAAGAAGAGACTGTAGGTTTAAAATGTGGGCCTGTGTGGAGACTTCCTGAGAACTGATGAAATGGCCCAGTTGGTTGATCAGAAACCTTGGGTCTTCAGTGATGCGGGTTTGCAGGGAAATTAGTGGGTTGTTTCCACATTGGCAAGGAATGGGAGGGTTCAAAAGGAAACTGGAAACCTCTGGAAAATGTTAAATGGTCTTAGAGAAATACAGAGTTTTTATAGTAACAATAACAAGTCTGCATCAGACAACATACTATGTTTTTTTTAATATATGCAGTATCTCACTTAATCCTAAACCCTGTGATATATGTATGAATTTTGTACCCATTTTACAGAATGGAAAAGTGAGACGCAGGGAAGTGAAATAACGCCCCCAACATGGTACAGTTATTAAGCAGCAAGACAAAGCTTATACCATGATCTGTGTGATTCAGTCAGTACATGCAGGGGAGAGAAGCTGCATTCAAGGAAATGCCTTTGCACAGTGACTGAGGGACCCACTGAGATCTGGTTCTAGGGGCTCTGAAGAGAGACCTTTGTCTTAGGACCTCACGGGCCAGTTTTTCAGAGACGTACTGCCGGTCTTAGACTTAACGTTGGGAAAGACAGTAATAAGCTTTAGAGTGTGCCAACCTAGACCAGACAGAATTTTGCAAAATAAGATTGTGTACCTATAATTTAGCTTAATGGGTATGTAGCGTAGATCCCAATAGTCCTTTGCACGAGATTAAAATTGTACATTTTAAATGCTTCCAGATGGAGGGGCCTTAGCCAAATCCAGGAAGGGGGAAGGAAGCTAAAGGGAAGAGGAGGAGCAGCTTGAACTGGCTGCTGTGGAGGAATGCAGAAAAAAGAACAGGGGACCCCCTCATCCCCAGCCCTGGGACAGAAACTCCTGGCCCCTGGGGGCAGCGTTAAAGTCAAGCCCCAGAGAAGCAGCTGGGGCCTCTGCCAGGAGCGCGGGGAAATTGATTTAAACCATCGAATGAAGAATAACTGACTCCCTTCCTGTCTTCATTCCCCTCCTGTGCCCCACCCTGGTTTTCTAACTGTGACTTCCTAAGAACATTCCTGTGCTATGCTTTGTCTTTGCCAAGCATGGATCTTTATTTCACATTTGGATTCTAAATTTCAAACCCAGCTCACTCTGGAAGCTTTAACCGTGGGGTTGGGGAGAGGTGATTTAGTTCTAAGAAAAGAGGCTCAGAAACCTTCTTGGAAATCAGCATTGTTCCCTTCATCATTGTAGCTCCTAATTCGATTTGATGAGTTAAGTAAAAATAAATCAAAACCACGTGGATCAAATTTACGTAAAAAATGCACAGGGGTTTAAAAATTAGAGGAGGGTTTCTAGCCAAACACATTTTCGGTTTTGCTGAACACAAGGCGCTGGAAAAATCTCAAGTGTGCCAAACCCAAAGAGCAGCCTCCAGGTTTGCTGAGCCTCTCTCAGAGCTCCCGAGGTCCAACGGCAGGGACTTCTGTCCGAACGGAGCTCCACACGAGGCCCCGCCTACCAAGCACAGTCCGATGGGCCGAGGGTGGGTGGTGCTTGACTCTCCCCCAGGCCGGGCACCTTGTGTCTCTGCGTGGCAGCAGGGATTCCCGTGAGGGAGCCAGGCCCAGCCAGGTCCCCCATCCCTTTGCTCAGTGACGCTCATCACCATTCACCTTTTCATTTCTTCCTAAAAGAATTCAAGTGGAGGAGAAAGGGTTTGTAAACTAAAGGCCCTGGAGCCCAGACCCTCCGCGTCCTTTTCCTGGGCTCGCCCAGCACAGCGCAGACAGCTTGGCTCGGGCCTGCAGCCCAAACTTCCAGATGTTCTGTGCTCCACGCCCCTTTCTGGCTTGTGACAGGTCCTCCCCAGAGCTAGGATTCCTCTTACCGTTACTCATGCTTTCCGGCCTCCACTCTAAGACTGTGCCGTTGCCTTTAGCCCCTTTCGGAGCTCTTGGAAGAACGAGGTCTTTTGCCGCATGGGGGCCAGATTGCAAAGCCACGGCAGCCTCAACTCAGCAGTCCCCTCCTCCCACCCCCGCTGGACTGAACCAGAGGAGCCCGACTTTCTCTCGGCTCCATTTTCCCTCTCCGTAGTGTTTGATATTCCTGGCAGCTGTTTTTTTGTAACTCCAGTTCACTCATTTAGCTCATTCTTGTTTTTTTTCACTGA